GATTTTACGACTTTCAACGTAGCATGAACTTTTCCCCGTAGAAGTACGCGAATTCCTGAAAATGAGCCCAAATTGGACGATCGTCAAATCGCGGAATCGCCGTTAGAAGGGCACATTCAGAGATGGCGAAGGGAAAAACGATTAGACGACATGAATAGGCATTGAAATGAGCCTCTTCCATGATCGTCGACATATAGGAAAAGACGGGACGTCCAGCGGAAACGAACCACGTCAAAAACGGACCTTTGATCTTGATATTCTCCGTATTCTCCAACACAACACTGCCACCGATTCGTTCACCGGCATAATAGATCTCTTTGGCAAGTCGAATATCAAAACTTGAAATGTAATCCATCCAAGGAAGTAGTCAAACCCCTAAAGGGTGAATAGACTCCCTAAAATCTGAAAATGGCATGAAAGTCCTCGAAAATGCGTTTTTTTTTTTGGCGGCTTATGGCGAAAAAAAAAGGTCCAAATATAGTAGGGCGATCAGTTATAGACGCTATCGGGGAGCTCAAAATGAGCTTTCCAAGAAAAATGTACTTGGCAAGAGGATTATGAGAGACAGTTCTCGGAAGAGCTTTGAAAAAGCCGCAAGATGCCAAATGCAGATGCCCAGAGAAGTGACGCCATTTCAGGAATCAGCTGAAAAGAATAAATGGTCCCAAGGAGCTTGGGAGCCTGATTTATGATGCACATCACAGAGCCTTTGGAATAGGAAAGAGACAAACGAAAAAATAACTGCAATGCACCATAAATCAGGTACTGTAACAAAAAACGAACGATAGAAATCAAGAAAAGTAAAATAAATGGAATCGGTTCAGAAAGAATCAGTTGGGTTGGCTCCAACGTAGTCCTGCGCCTGAGGTCCAGGAAATTATCCCCGGATTGTCCAGGGAAATGGAAAATCCCTTCTGAACAGGAGTATTCTGAGGTGAAATAGACGCGATTGGAGAGAGAGAATGTCAATAGTCTAAAAGGAATGCATGCGAGTAATTAATGTCTCTCGGCCCACGGACTCCGCCTTCCGTACGCCAGCAGCCGACGTTGTCAGCCAGCCAGCTTGGAGGCTAGAATCGAGTCACATACATTACCGTTTAACCATGTTTACACCATGTTTACCATTGTGTCACATAATGTCTGATGTTTATGAAACTTGGACTGGCCATACTTTGGTCGTTGGCCCAAAAAAAGCCGAGACTTGGGCAAGTCTACCGTGAAAACTTCCCCAAAGAATGGCTTCTAACTTTTCCTTGCAAAGTTGAATTTGCATTTGTAAAGAGNATTGGAGAGAGAGAATGTCAATAGTCTAAAAGGAATGCATGCGAGTAATTAATGTCTCTCGGCCCACGGACTCCGCCTTCCGTACGCCAGCAGCCAACGTTGTCAGCCAGCCAGCTTGGAGGCGAGAAAATCGAGTCACATACATTACCGTTTAACCATGTTTACACCATGTTTACCATTGTG